TAATTGGGAACCACTGCTGTAGCACTTGTCTGGAAAATATGAAATGATCACCAATATAGCAAATGATATCTGTTACAAAAACGAATTACATGAAATGAATGGAAAATTCCTCCGCTGCACTGTGGGACAGAAGATCATGATCTTTGGCATGATCAAAAATTAAATTTTCAACTAAAATATGTGTAGGCAGTTTTATTATAGCCCAAATTGAGTATTCATAATCATTCCAGACATTATAATTTACTCTTTGGACCGACGAGAGTNCGAGTCACACTTCCCTAGTTTCCCTTGTTAGCTCCAAAAATTTCCATGAGGTAATTAGCTAAACTTTTTTTTTGTTGTCTTTGATATTTCTTCTTCCGAAAAAACCTGCCCTATTTTGCACGTATTGCAAAGGTGAACTAAATATACCGAAGAACAAAAATTATGTTTTTTTTTCATGTTTTCGCGTTATTTTGTATTTAATTCGCGTTATTTTGTAATATTACTTCGGAAATATAATTTGCTTTTCATTTTTAATATAAAATTACGAAAATTATTATATTTTCATCGCTATATTTAATTATTTAAACGTACTATATTATTTTTTTAAATTTTGCTCGCCATATTTCAGCCGCCATTTTGTTTTTTGTGGGTATTTTTAGTGTATTTCAAAATTTCAACTATGAATTCAATTTACCAGATATTGAAACAAATTTTATTGAAATACTGATTTTGGCTACAACACCTTGGATGCTGGTCCACTGTGAGCTGGGTGACAAATAATTACTCTAGATCAGACTACAACACTTTCCGTTAATGATTCACTCACATGTTTACAGATCCAAATAAAAAAATTTTGTTTTTGACAGGCATGTTTGTTAATTCAAAATAAAATAATTTTCTACCAATTTTTCTCTTTTGAAAAAAATGTTATCAAACAAGGACGCTAGGTATTAATTAGTTAATTGGTCAATTCTTAATTTCTTGAAGAAAAAATTAAAAAAAAAAAAATTAAAAATTTTTCTCAAAATTGTGACTGTATTCCATATTGACATTTTACGCTATTTTCCGAATGACCTAAACTTGACCTATAAGTCATACGTAACTGTTGCAAATTCACATCAGTTATGGTACGTATTTTATTTACGTCGCTCAATGGGTTATTATCGACGGTTTGGGAAACCTCCGTGAGGATGATCTCAAAACATGCCATCACAATTTTGATCCTCTGCAGAGGGGATGGTTCCTCCGCGCGAAGTCGAGCACTTTACGGTAAAACAGTTTAACGAGGACCAATACCGCGCTCCCTCGGTCCCTACGCAGGCTGATCAAAGTGGTTACCCACCCGCTTACTGAAAGCATCCAGTTACACTTGATTTCGGTGTTCTACTGGGAACCGTGTTTTAACAATTAGACCACTGCGGGACCACATCAGTTATGAAAATACAGTACAGAACCCGTTATCCGGAAATCAAAAAACCGGAAAACCAAAAAACCGGAACGAAATTCGATAAANCGTGTTTTAACAATTAGACCACTGCGGGACCACATCAGTTATGAAAATACATAATATATTATTTCGCATCAATTCATGCGACTACAGAGCCTTCGAAAAACAATCTTAATATGAATTTGATGGACTCCGACAGAGGAAAAAAAAACTCGTTGGGATGACCCTGGGCCTGTTCTAGGTTATAGTGCCAAGAAGAAGATAAAAACTGGATGATCTTCACCGATGATCCTTAATATGTTTAGAATCCTTTCCAAAAAATGAGACATATATGCACATTGGGGATTACAGATTAAAATTTATGTGAGGAATAAACCAAAAACACAATCAAAATCTGACGAATCACTGTTGAGGAACACTGGTTTAAAATACGTCAAAACCTGTTTGTTGCAGGTGATTCTAATAATCGTCTATTAATTTCTTTTTAGTTATCCCAGTAACCAAAGAGATTTTGGTGTTTCGTACACCCGCCTTCCTCAATTGTGATATGACAGATTTCGATAGCGTTATTCCCCCTCTCAACTGTGCATTAACTTGCAAGCATTATTGTGCAGATATGTTTGTCTAAATTACTGACAAAGATTTTAAAAATATACATTAAGGGTGGTCGATGCGGAACAACGTGCGTATATTAAGAACCATTTAAGAACAGTCTCAGAAATAGATACTAGGTATTAATGGGTTAAATTCAGAGTGAAATTAGGTAAAATATATAATTTACGTAAAATTGTGCCACACAATTTTTTAATAAAAATAACTTTATTGATTAAATATGAAAATAATTCCACAGTGTATTTTTCTAAAAATAAAATTCGTTAGTACAAATAATATTAAAAAAAAAGGGCATTTTTATCATAAGTATCACTATTCTTTCGTTAATTAAAATCAAATCAGGAAACAAGTATTCCGCACAAAAGTTGGTCCATTTCATCACAGGATTTTTTGTTCCATAGGATTCCATTTTACCTAATTGCTGTTGTTTTACAAAAAAATACAGTTACTTATAATAATAACAACTGAAAATTCTACTATTAGTTTATAAAGAAAAAAAAAATAGCTTCTAATCTAAAAAAAGCAGCTTATAGTAATTGAGTTTTATGTACAACTTTATTTAAAATGGTCAATTAATTATCTTTATATATATTTTTTTGTGGAAAACTTGAATGGGAAAAAATTAATTTAAGTAGATAAATATAGTATATTTTATAAAAAATTGTTTCGCTTTCATTATTAAGTGGCATTGAGAAGTACTAAATTATTCTTATAGATGGCACCACAAGTCTTTTACTTTGGTACCGCAGAGAAGAAAAACAAATGATTAAGTTAACATTTATGAAATGAGGAAAAAGTTGATTTGTTGAATGCTAAAAATTTTCCTTTCGAGATGCTAAAAATTTTCCTTTCGAGATACTAATTTCCTTATGTTTATTTATTTATTTTTTGTTATTTCACCTGTCATTTAAATACATTTTTGCTTATTTATATTTCAATCCTATTTTAAATTTTTCTTTTTAAATGTAAAAAAATACATATTTTTAATATTATTATAGACTTTTCTTCGAAATTTATCAGAACTTATTATTAATTAATAAATTAATAATAATTTCAAAATTACTTAAATTAATAAAAAAATTGTTATCATTAATTAATTTATTATTAAATAATTATGGAAAGTTAATAGTAAGAATTTACATAGAATTTACACAACAAAATATCTAATTCCTTATTTTCTAACAACTTTTCTAGAGAATAATTTTTTTAATTATTTGTTTTTATTTTAGGGTTCGAAGAAGAGGAGGAGAAGGAGGCAGCGAATTGTTAAAATGGATCTTCCAAAGCTTCTGTATAGTTTTATTATATTTTTTCAATTAAGAAGAAATTAAATTTAAAAAAATAAATAAATCATGCAAAATTTTGAAATCAATAAAAATTTAAAGTTCTTTTTCTAAAAATTATTGTAAAAAAATGCAATAATTATAATAGTGTCATTTGCATCATATTCGTAATATTTCGTCGTATATTTCGTAATATTCGAAATATTTCGTTAAAGGTCTCAAAAAAGAAATTACATAAATCCTTTTAATAAAAATGGAAGGAAAATCATTTATATTGACCGATTTAGCTCAAGGAGTTTTTCTTTTATACAAATTAAACGTAGGTTTATTTTTCCAATTCACTAAAGGAAAAAAAAAGTTTTTTTTTCTCTTAATTATTTCGACTATCAATGTTTGGAAACCTAGAAAAACTTGTTTGGCAGCTTATCAATTCATTTTTAAATTGGGAAAGCATATCTTACAATCTAACTATATTTTGCGGCACATGTCTTCAAAACTTTTACCACACTAACTTATAATATAAATATAAAAATGTATGCTGGAAATTCTAAAGAGAAAAAAAGAAAAATGTATGATTTTAGGGGCAAAGGGAAGTAACCAACAAAGAATTGAATATTTTTATTAATGGACCTTACATAAATTGATAGTCGAACGACCGATTGTATAAAAATTTAACCTTAAAAATTTTGTGCAAGCATTTGATCTTTTATCTCTAAAAAATAGGATTTCAGTTGGAGAATAGGAAAGTTCACCCTTAGTAAGAGGAGAATTTAATTTTTTCAAAAATTAAATTCAGAGAATTAAATTGTTTTTCAAGGCTTAAAAAAATTTATACTGGAAATTTTAAAAAATTATGGTGTTATTTTTAATGAATTAAATCTACCTTTTTTTTTAAACCTTTTGACGCAGATGGCAGACCAGTGACCTTTTATAACTATTTTTTCTGATGCTCTAATTACAAGCAAAAGTATATTTTAGAATTTTTTGATTCCAAAAAACAGTCTAATAATTACAAAAAAATCTGTTAGATTATCAGAATTATATTTGTACTACGATATAAAATCTAAAAAAGTAGTTATAAATTTTTTTTCATTCATATTCAAGAATTTATCAATAATTGATTTTGTAAGCTAAAGAAATTTCAATGATGAATAACTTTTCTTCATCGATTTAAATTACTGCAAATAAGGACAAATTTGAGAAATTATCGTTTGGAAGTGAGCAGTGTTATGAAGATTTCACCTTTCATGCAAAAAAAAAAAAAAAAANAAAAAAAAAAAAAAAAAAGCACCGGTGTGTCATGTGGTATTTCATAGCCAGAAATTATTAAAATGCTAACTATAATATTTTTCACTCATTTTGACCTAAATTAATAAAAAAAACAATGAAAAAAAATGTATGAAAAATATGTTTAATAAAAATTTTGCAGCAAGGGTTAAAAAAAACCGCTATTTAATTATAATACATTAAAAATTACATGCAAAGCGGCTAAAATTGATTTATTTAAGTGAAAAAATATTTAATGACGAAAATTTTTTTTTAAAAAAAAGGGCGGAATTTATAAAAATCAAATAAATAAAAGGCAAGAATGAACCTATTGTTGAAAAAAAGATTATTAAAAAAAAAAAAAGATTTTGTCAACATCTACAAAAATAATAAAATTGAATACTTACAAGCTTCTTAAGGAGGGTACAATGGTGCAAAATTCAGGAGGCACAGTATTTAAATTTGACCTATCAATTCTTAAATGTTGCAATGAAGTTGTTCCCATGATGTCTGGAAAATCTTCAAGATACTTCACTTCTGATAACGTCCTAACGAAAAAAAGAAAAAAAAAATTTAAATATTAGGTATCAAATTTATGGAAATAGTTTTTTAAATACGATGCTGCTCCTGAGTGTATTGATGTATTTAAATTCGCTGGTAAATTAAGGGAAAAAAAGGATACAGAGATGGGAAAAATTCTGTGAGGCAATAGAGATAATTAAAATAATGAGTTAATTAAAGTATCAAATAGCTTTTAAGTGAGTTTGAGAAAATAAGCTCTAAAATTTTAACGAAATAAGAAAGATTTTATTTTAAGAAACGAATTTTTTTTTACTCATTCTCAGAAAATCGACACTTTTAGCCATTTATGCAAATAACTTCTAAATAACCTGCAAATAACCTCTAATAGAACATTTAACTTCCTCAAATGTGAATGATATGATGTTTCAATTTATTCTAAATTTTCTAATTGCGTAGTAAAACCGCATTATTCAAAAGCTTGCCAGCATAAATAATTGTCTAATGATTTAAACTGTTCTTATACCTGAAGAATTTTATTTCCTTTTATAACCGGTGCCGAACAGCCGACCCAATTCTGAGTTTGCGACTATCAATGTTCAACTTCATAGCCTTGTAATTTTGAACCCAACCTTGAAGACAAGGAAACTTTTGAATCAAGCATTGGGACAATCTGGCTTTCGTGGAGGACTGTTAGTTGGAACTAAGCGATACTATAAGAGGAAAGACTCCCACGGTTAGCTCGACGTCAAGGGGTTTCTAACCCATGCTCCATCTAAATACTTCTGAGGATATTTTATGTCAGCACTGCGGTTGGTGCGCTCCGGGATCGGAATTCGTATCAATCAATCACCGCTGGAATATAAACCTGGGTCACCTCATAGCGCTCTATCCCCTGACCCACCGCTGCTCAACACAAAGAATTGAGTGTTTTTAAAATATTACGTAGCGCGTTCTTCCGTTATTAAATTTTCCTACCGAATTTAGTTCAGGGGCTTAGGGCAATTTAATGATAAGCCACCTTTTCAAGTTTTTCATAAGAGCATATTTGGCAAAAAAAACTCCACCATTTCTATTAAAGCAACTATATGTTTCTGTGTGTTGTGATATTATCTAGTGGAAATTTGGGAAACTTGTAAAGAAATAGCTATCTGAAATTAATGCTGAGGAACAGTTTAATGTAAAAATGTCTAGTTTGGAAAAAGTATAGCACATTACTGTATTCCCACAAGTGCTTCAATTGGAACAGGTATAGCGTCTTGTTATAATATTTGTTCTTAATAGTTTCTTTCATATGTAATTTATCACATATAATCTGTTATTAAAATTATACTATTTCACACATAAGTTTTACCTGTAAATTATAAATAGAATTTCTTTTTTCGTTTTTGAAGAGCAGATTATTTCAAAATTCATTTCTACGCATTAATTTTTTTTTTTACTTCCTAGAAAACTTATGTTTTCAACGTTTTTCTTCAGGCGCATTTTGATATTTTAAAAATCTATGCTACATACAAGAAGCTGGACAAACTAAACTTAATATTGTAAAATATAGATTCGAGGTTTTATTAGTCCTACATCGGATAATCGAATATTTGAAAATGAAAAACATCGCCTGATGTCTGTGAATATCAGGCACGCAATATTTGCATACTATTTCATAGTTTATACCCATTTATAGAGGGGAAAAATAAGCCTAGCTTTTTATGTATTCTGTAACAAATAAACACATTTATAAAGATTGAGTACTCGTAAAAGAAATATTTACGAATATCTATAAAACCATTCCGTTCCTTTGAGCAAACACTTACCCCGAGAGGAAAATGTTTAAGTTACTTTGAAAGCTAAAATCATCATAGTGACGAAATAAAAATAAAGATAAAATCAATGGATTACATGAAGGCTTTATTTGAATAGTGGGACAACTACATTTTTGTTCATTTTCAGATCTAGAGCCTTAAAGTTTAGTAATTATATTATTTGCCCTATCTTGTCTGATTTTTGGTGCCCTCTACTAGGAACAGAAATAAGCTGAAGCATCAACTTCATTTTTTAAAAGAAGTCCTCCTTGAAAGCTAGTTTGTCTCAATGCTTGATCCAGGAGCTCCCTTGTCTTCTGGAAAAGGTTCAAAATCACAAGGTTACCGAGTTGAATATTGGTAGTCGTAAACTCAAAATTGGGTTCGCAGTTCAAAGACGGTAATAAAAATAAAATTATATCAGTATTGAGCAGTGGTAGCTCAGGGGGTGGAGCTTTCGACTCCTAAGGAGATGACCCTAGTTCGAATGCCAGCGATGACTCATTGATATGAATTCTACATCTGGCCCGCACCAGCCACAGTGCTGACGTAAAATATAACTCATGGTAGATGGATCATGGATTAGAGTCCCCTTGCTGTCTACCTAATCGTGGGAGGTTTTCGTGGTTTTATACCGCAAATACGGGTTAATTCCACCAAATAGTTCTCCATGAAGGCTAGTTTGTCCCAATGCTTGATCAAGGAGTTCCCTTGTCTTCTGGGTTGGGTTCAAAATTACACGGCTACGAAGTTGAACACTGACAGACATAAACTGCGAATTGAGTTGACTATTCAAAGCCGGGTATAGAATAAAGGAAAATTATATCAGCACAGGCCGGGATGCTTTAGGGTAGAGCGCTATTTTCCCAATGTAGGTAATTCAGGTTCAAATTCCAGTGATGGCTTTATTGGTTATTGGTTTGCATTGACTACAGTTCTGACGTAAAATACACTGGAGTAAGAAATTAAGAGAATTTGCATACTTGATCGATTATCTCAAGAACTACTGGACCGATTTTAATGAGATTTAATATGAACATACATTGATACAATACAAAACAAATAACTTTTTAAAAATTGCAAGGCACACGCATGATCGTGCATAGCACTCATTGGAGTCGGAAGGTATGAAATTGCTGCAGGACAATTCAGGCCATTTGCCACAGGAAATGATAAACTGCCTTATTTCAGGTATGAAATTACGCTGCAAGCCCTGTATATTTGTAAGAGGGGACCATAACAACCCATTTTGTTTGTTTCTTATGCAACCGCTGTTTCATACCTTCCAACTCCAACGAGTGTTACGCACAATCATGCGCGTGTATTACAATTGTTGAATGGTTATTTATTTTGTATTGTATCAATGTGTACATATGCCAAATTTCATTAAAATCGGTCCAGTAGTTCTAGAGATAATGGACCAAGTCTGTAAATTCTCTTAATTTTTTGCACCAGTGTATTTCAAAGGATAGGTCAGAATTTCCTTGACTCATCATGAAAATTTTTTATGGTTTTCCTCTCAGTATAACGCGAATGCTGGTGAGTTGCATCAAAAATTTTTTAACGAAGGTGAGTTTGTCTCATTACTTGATCTAGGAGTTCCCTTGTTATCTAGTTTGGGTTCAAAATCATAAAGTTATGAACTTGCCGCATTGATGGCAGTATAATATAAGATAAAATAAAATAATATCCTTAGAGAGAATGATTCGGAAAGAACTATAAACTTGTATGTTCAAAACATTTAAGATGAGTGTACGATGATGCAAACTCTACTTATGGAGGTAAGAAGGGCGATTGTGAACTATTAACACAATTATTTTAGAAGGTTGTGATCAAATTTCGGTAAGATATTATTGGCTTTATTTGGTATACAGCAGTTTGAAATTTTCTGTGTTTTGTATATTTTCATAGCGCAATGTGCAAACTTTTTTATTGATTCAGGAATTTTTTGTTAGTTGAAAAAATTTTAATTAAAAACGAAATAAAGCAACATAAAATTTGAGATATCTTTAAAAAATTAAAGCAAATCGGTTCTTAGCTTTATGATCTGTAAATGTCTTCAAAACATTTACCAGAAGTTTGCACTTTTTCTAGAGGAGTTGTTAGAGGGAAACAATAAAAAAATAAAAATAAGATTTGAATTAAACCCCTATAAATATTGACATATAATGCTTTCCTTAAATATCCAAAATATTTCAAATTTATTAGCAAAGTCAGTTTATTGTATTTCACTTGATGACCTAATTGCAATGAAAAATGTCCAGTGGCGAAAATTTTATTTAAATTTGATTATTACTTATTAAATAAGTATCAGTAGGAGGTATAAAAAACTTATAAAACGGATATCAATGAAAGGCATAAAAAATTTCAGACTTAAATTTGATTATAACTTATTAAATAAGTATGAGTAGAAGGTATTAAAAACTTATAAAACGGTCATTAATAAAAAACATAATAAATTTCAGACTTAAATTTGATTATAACTTTTCTAGAGGAGCCATAATGCAACCATCAATGAAAGGCATAAAAAATTTCAGATTTAAATTTGATTATAATTTATAAAACTGTTAGATATACAATGTGTTAAGTACTTCGTATTTAAATTTGATTTATTCTTATATCCTATATCAATAGAAGCAAAATGAACTTTATATTTATATTTGGCTTATACTTATGAAATACATCTCAATAAAAGGCGCCAACTGTTTCCTTTCATTTAAACTTGATTTATATTTATATAATAAACAATAAAAAGCATAAAACACTTTTTATTAGATTTTAATAAAGAATTATATCTTTACTGGTAATGTAATACTAAGTTTAAGTTAACTATAATGTTATAATAATAATGATTAACCTAAACTATAAAATGTAATCTTAAGAATACTTTGGTCGTTAGAAATGAGAAACTCATACTTTATTTATAAAATAATATAGTGAGTACCACAGTTTTAATTCAACCCTAAATAATTTATTCCGAGTGAAATGGGCCAAAAGTAATTCACGAGGATGGAATTTCTACTCTTCTCTATGAATTAACAGATAGTATCCAAACATTCTGAAATTTTAGGAAGTGTTCTAGCTAAGTATATCAGTTTACAGAAACTTTTAAGTATTAACTTTACAATAACCAATTGTTAAATTGAATGCATATTAATAAAATCTTTCTGTAATCAATTTCAATGCTATTTATTTCAGGAAAACATATCAGAATACAGGGAGAATAAATGTTTTACTATCGATTTAAGAACTGTTTATTTCTGAAACGATAGACAGTGTGAAAATGGCGAACATTGTTTAGAATAGGATTTGTGTCTTGTATTGTTTATTGATTCACCTTGTACAAGTTAGTTGTAACCCCCTGAAAAAATTAATTTATGGAGCAGATGGGGCTAGCTGGAATTCTATCAGTCAAAATCTTTTTTGGCAGATTCACAAAATCTTTTCATGTGCAGTTGACAACTTAGTAGCAGATTGTAAACTAAGTTGAAAAGTAAATTCTTCATTTGCTTTTTAATCACTTCTTTGGACTATTTTTATTCATTTTGATTCATAAAACATCTTTTAACTGATTAAACTTCAATAAACAATTACTAAAAATAATCGTTTGTTCAAAATTTAATTGCATTGTAATTGTATTCTTATTGCATTTTTTTTTAATTTCCTAGATATGAAGTAAAACGCAACAAAAAAAATAATAACATAAAGGAAGCCTGACTCTCTTCTTTTTTTCCTGGATAAAAATTTAAAAAATCGATTAAAAATTGAACAAAAATCTTTTAGGGCAGAATAATAAATCTCGCTTCCAGTATTTAAGACATACTATTGTGAAAATACTTTTGATCCCTATATATTTTGAAGCAGGGTTGGCAAGAAATCATGATTTTTTTAGAAAAAAAAATCAGGTTTGATTTGAATCGAATCTGCTTTTTAGATTTAAATAAGACTTCTTGATTTTTTTTAACATTTACTATCCAAAATATTTGTTAAAATATACTAGTAATAAATTAAAACAGTATTATAGTTGAAACAGGAAATATTTCAAACTAAAATAGTTTAAATTACTATTTAATCCTTAAAAACTAATACCTGAATAAATTAAATGTTTATTTTTACTCAAGCTCAACATCCTAAAATTTTAAAAGACAGGAAAGCAATTTGTCAATCATGTATCCAACAAAGAGTAAGTAAGTTTAGATCAGGAATCATTATTGAAAAAAAATATTCTAAGTTACTACGAGTAGAAATTTTTTTTCTTTATTATTGATGTAGTACAATGGGCAAGATAACAAACGAACCAACCTGAATAACTTTTGATCTAATGATCGGATTTTCGTGAGGATCCGATCATACGATCAAAAATTATTCAGGGTGGTCTATTTTTTATTTTGTACACTGTACATTAACTTCATATTTAACAAGTTTTAAAAGCAAAATCGCTTGCATTTAAATAAACACAAAACTAAATGGTTATAATTGAAACATTTTTATTACCTCTAAAGTAATATGAATACAGCTAATGAAAAATAAGTTTAAAGTTTCATGTCTCTCTTATCCACTTTCAGTTTTTTTAATTTATTAGTCTATAAATATAATATTCTATATACATCTCCTTTTCCTTAATTCTTTTAACAAAAATTTTATTACAAGGGAAATTAGAATTAAAAAGTACACAACCAAAATAATATATTTATAAATTATAATTATATATTCAGTAAAATATTTTCTACTTAAATTAGCTTTTTTTCAAAAAAAAATTTGCTGTTGATTTAAATGAATGATTTTTTTTCTATAAAAAATCAAGTGATTTAAATCGCAATTTTAATCACAATTTAAATTATATGATTTAAATCATAGTAATCCTGCTTTGAAGATCAAAAAATATGAATTCATTAAAAATTATTTAATAACTTAAATAGCATAGCTGTCAATTCTTACAGATTTTTCTGAAGTTTTTGTTTTCATATTTAATGTGATAACAAAACTTTTATTTTTCTACTTAAACTATTTTAACCTCCTCTACATCTATCTAAATTAAGCACCAGACATAAATGCATGATAACCTTGTGAAGATATGCTTAATTTTTAAAATATTAAAATGAATTAATATTAATATTAAAACAAATTATAAAAATATTTAAACCTATAACCATTTTTTCAAATTATATTGTTTTATTATTTGGGAAAACTATTCTTGGAAAGAGTAAAAATTGACAGTTATTAAAAAGTATGATCATTCAGAGAACGTACATATTTGAGTCTGATTTCATAACTTAATTCGTAGTTAGGATTAACTAATTAGAATATTAAAAATTTGCCTTTTGAGCAACTCAGAGTGAATCTTTATACGTGAAAATCCGATCATTAAGTCAAATGTTTTTCACGTTGATACCATATTTATTTACTATTTAATCATTGTATTTACAATTCGGTGAGATATTGCTCGTTATAACTAGGCTTAGAACATAAAAGAAAAATTTGAATTCAAATTTAAAAAAAAGAAAGTTTTTTGTTTCTACTTACAACTTTTTCAGACGTGGTAACTGCGAAAATGTGCTTTTTTCGAATGATTCAAGAGGATTTCCAGAGAATTCTAATGATGTTAGTTGATGATTAGCTTGAAAACTTGACTTTGACAAATATTTGATCTTATTGTTCGAGAAAGTTCTGCAAGGAAAAATTCAAACCAGATCTAATCTTATAGATTTTAAGGAAGCAGAGGAAATGATAATAGATGGAAAAAAATTGTTTAAAAAAATTACGAAACATAATATGCACCAAGTATGATAAAAAAAATTTGAGCAAAAGCAAGTTGAATTCACTTTTGCCTGTATCGAAACACCAGGAAGATCTTGACAAAATACTTTTTTTCTTAAAACCATCTTATTAATAGTTTTCCATCTTATTTAATGATAAATTCTCTTTACTTAGTAACATTAAACGTTTATCAATACTATCAATAAGACTTTACGATACTAGTAATACTCAACATCGATACTTCTTTTCAATAGTATTGCACGGAGAAAAAATTCTGGTAAAATAACCGTACTTTACGGTATTTAAACCATTCATTAGGGAATTTTTCCATTTTTATGGTAAGGACTTACCGGATATTCCGGCTTTCAAAATTATAGTTCTTATCACTACAAATTTAGTAAAAAATACAAAACTGAAAAATAAATTTAACCGAATAAATGGTTTTTATGCCAGGCTCTAAGGTAAAAATATAGAATTACCAGATTTTACCACATTTTCCAAATTTTTTCACATATGAAATTATAATTTATTGTTATAACTACCAAAATCATTACCAAGCACTTCGGTAAAAATTACAGAGCTATTAGGTGTTCTTATCGAGCCATATTTAACCATTATCTGCTAGTTTTGACCACTAAATACGACTAGTTAACTGTGGTGAGCGATGACTCTTACTTAACGGTTAATCCTAATGGTTAATTGAATAATGCAGCTAAAATAAATTTAATTTTTTCGCATTTTTCCTTATCTGTTACCAAGTTAAATATCGCTGCGAAGTAAATTCTTCTTATAGTAAAATACTTACATTCTGCCCTATCGGAATCACAGAAAATTAAATTCAACCTCTTAAGAATATGCTTCATTTGTTTTATTAATTTTACCTACAGCAGTTACTTATGTAATAAGAGCTGACAACTTTCTACGCTTTTTGAAAAATTTCTTCTAGGGGTAGATAAGTTTATGTTTTAATGTGGGATTCATTGTTTTATAATTTTGATTTGGAAATATTTTATAGAATATTATTTAGAATATTTTAAAGTTATTTTCCACACCTCAACAAGTAAATGATTCAAAAGTTCATATAAGAAGCTGTTATGTTTTAGCTATTTTATGGCGAGACTTTTAAATTGTTGGTAAATTCTTCAAACGTTTTAAAAGCTTACTTTTTTAATTTCAACCACTCTATAAATATTTTGCAAAAAGAGAAGTAGTTGGCAACCCTATATAAGTACCAAAACAGGTAGATTGTACTTACATAAACACAAATCAATGTCAATATTAACTTAGTACTATTTATTTAAAACATGACTCAGAATTTTGAAACGATATTATAAAATATCTAGTAATATCGACATTTTGCGCTAAAAATATTCATATATTGATTCAATGTTATCTATACATAATTTCGATAATATCAATGCTTTGTTTCGGTAGTATTGGTGCTAATATAGTAAAATAAATTATTTTTCTCAACATCAGTTTTAAAAAGTTATCAATTTTTAAATTAGAATATGCTTCTAAAGCAAGATGATCATAATTTCTAAAGCAAGATGATCATCAATTTTAAATTAAGATAATCATAATTTCTACACAAACAGGATCATAAATTCTAAAGCAAGATTAGAACTCATAACTAATATTTTTTATATTAGATGTAAAGTACTTGGGAATATCTTAAAATATTTAAGTACTTTAAAATATTCCATCAAAATAGATGTGCAAATAGATTTAAAAAAAATTTAAAGATAAAATACTTAATATTAATGGATGTATATATGTTATGGTTTTTAATACAGATGGATGTATAATCAAAATACAATTTAATTCTTATTACAATATAGTCACTTATCTACATTATTAAATGAGTATATGAATGCTTGAGCATAAATAGTACAGATATTACGAATTAATTAAAAACATTTTTGCGTTACCTAGTTCTCGTAATCATCTGTAGATATAGCGAACGTCCTTGTGATTTGTCTATAGAGTTGATGCTATTTACCTGGTTTTAAAACTCCAAGGGACTCAACTTTCTTCAAATTATTCTTGCCACAACTCATGCTCTCTTTGGGAAACATTTATAACTCCACAGGCTAGATTTTCAAATAACTTACCTTTATCTTTTCTATTTTCTTCATTGCTTTACTTACTTTAAAATTTGGTGAGACTATTTCTTAAAACAATATTGAATTATCAAAGTAGAAATTATGACCATTATTTTAGCATATTTCGCGTATCTACTTTTAATAATACTCCGGCAAAATATTTGAATACTTTTTTCTCAAAAAGAACTCAAGTCACATTTTTTAATCAAATTGAAACAGTTAATATGTTACTGCAAATGCCAGAAGTCTAATAAATTCTTGTTTTTACAAGTAATACCTCGGATTTACCTAAGTGGATTAGTAACTCCTTTGTTTTACCCCAAAGGCTTAGTAAAAAACCGATATGTAACCATACTAAAACAAACTTCTGACTTTTATGAAGTCACTTTGGTAAAATCTAGGTTTTACTGGTAAAACCTAAGATTTACCAGACTAATGAAATATAGGACTGTAATCCAGTTTTATGAGTTGCCAAATTTTTAGACAGAGTAATCGTTTTGCGCAGAAAAGTAATTTTTTCCTTTACAGCTAACAATTTATTCCGTAATCACATTTTTTTTGTGCAGAAAAGTATGAGTCTTAAACTGTTTTTTTCTTCTTTAAATTGTTATTGACTATAATTTTGATTGTATAAACCCAAGAATTAAAATATATCTATTAATTTCATTTCATTTGCATTTTAATGATTCCTAACTAGATATTTCGATTGTTGATTACATTATGAATAAGGAAAAAAAAAAGATTTAAGATGATGATATGATACTACTACAGCTAGAATAGTTAAAAAAAAAACTAATTGACGTTATTAATTTATCTGTAAAGCAAATAAATGGTTATTATAAAAGCCTGAAATATTTTTGAAGTGGAGCATATCCCTTTTTCAAATAATCTACTCATTTGCTTTAAGCAATAGTAGTTGTTTAGTTGTTCAAACTTTTAAAATCTATAACCACTTTTAAAATCTACGTATGTTTTCTGAGTAGAATCTGTCAAACTAAGTTTGAAATATTTTCGCGAAATTTAAAAATTATGAATGAATTAACCGATTACAAAATTTTTCCAAGTTATTACAGTTTAATGTGTATTCAATTAGTTTATCATATTAAAAAAAATCCTAAATTTTAGATTTGACTGCGAACATAAAGAAATCTTACAGTTCTTTGAGATTAGAGAGACTAGAGATGGCTAGAGGTAGCTCTAATAGTTCGTTTCCATTGATTTCTCTAAAAAAAAAAGATATAGAATGCATTAAATAACAGCTGCTGCAAACGTGTGCAGTTTTATGCATAAATCGATCAATAATAAAAATATGCAAAAGAGTTTAGAATTCAAGAATGTATTAATAAATTGATTCATACTTACAGACACTTCAAAGAGTTAAGGCCGTCAAAAGCATTTGGACCCACGTACTCTATAAAGTTGTTTTGTAAATATCTGTTAAATACAAGATTTTGACGACTATTAAAATCTAAGTTTTATAATTTTCATCAAAATAAGAATTTCATCATTACTACAGGGTAAGAATAAAATAACTTTCTCTGGGTAAGTATTAATATTTTTCTCTTTCCATCAGGCAGCCATGAACTTGCAAATATTGCAAGCTCATGGGCTCCTGACGGAAAGAGAAAAAGAGGGAGACGGAGTCCAACATGGCAAAGATGCATTAAGGAAGAGCTTAGTAGAGCAGGATTAACTGGATGGGAAGAAGCTCGTTGCCTGATTAAAGACAGGGGTGTGTGGAGAGAAGGACTCGAGGCCTTATGTGCCAGTTCGGCATGAAGAGGATAAGTAAGTATTAAATAACTTGCCAACGTATGACCCTCAGGGGCGCATACAATATATTTTTAGTATGAATAGTGGCTGCGCTAGACAGAGCTGAAAGGAACAAAAAGCAACATATTGTGATTTTCTTTTCCATCCCATTGAATAACGATTAGAGGACCATTAAGAAGATCTGAATCTCTAATACAGCCATGAAGTATAAAATACTTTTTCGTTTTTATGTTAAAGTTTCATTCTACTTCACAAAAATGGTGCATAGATTTAGAAAGTGGCTTTCATCACTCTTCCAATTCAAATACTCAAGACTATTTAATACGGAGTATAAAGTTTGTATTTAATAATTAGTAATTACAAATAATAAGAAAGTACTTACAAATTAGTTAGTTTGTTCATATTTTGAAAGGCATAATTTGGGATACTTCTGATGTCATTGGATGCCAAGTTTCTGAAAAGAAATACGCAAACTGCAGTTTTTATATGAATGGCATTTAAAATATTAATAACGATAATAATTACTATGAAGAAAAAAAAGCGAATTCCATTTTAAGACAAAGTTGCAAATTAAAAGCATGTTGCATTATCTTGAAGAAAGTATTAATGTCCAGAAAAGTAGGATGTAAAAGTAGGTTTTGCAATGTAAATTTGTGAAATTAATCTCTAACGCGAAAGGCTCTTCAGAGCTTTCAAATTGATCTTCATTTTCTTTTACATTTTAAATTTTCTAATAATAGACAAAGATCGTTCTCTCAGAGACAATGACAAAGTTGCGATCAATATTATTCCCTAATGAGATTTTGTCTATAAAAAATAAACATTTTATTTCAGTATGATTATTTTGCTCTTGTTTTTAATAAATTCATAAAAACTTAGTATAAAAAGCTTTTGTTAAATATTAATTTAGTTAAAACTTTCTCTTAAATTGTAGCATTAAATGTTCTGGAAAAAAAAGGATTTATTAAAAAACAAGTTAACATTTATTCGTGTAGCGAATTCAGACAAAATTACAGTTCAATTCCATAGCATTAGGTACCATTTTTAAGAAAGATTAAAGTGAAAAAAATCATAATTCTATCAATAATTCCAAAATCTATCGTATTTAAATAATTTATTTGGTAATTTTTTCCGTCCGTATGCAAACAATTTACTGAAAATTTTGGTTTTCTGAATTATTGTTCTTATTATCACACATTTTGTAAAAATACAAAACGGAAAAAAAGTTTTTTTTTTATGCATGCTCTAAGTATCTTAATGAAATTACTACAAAACAGCACGGCAATCAAACCGTTGCATAACGTAAACGCATAACATAAAACCGTTAAAAAGCACCGTGCTTTTTGGCATTCCAATAGAGATGCCAGAAACACGGTAAATTTTATCATATTCTGGTAATTTTGATCATACTTTTTTTCTTAGTGTGTGATAAAATGAACTAAGACTGATATTAAAACAGAAAAAGAAAAGTTAGTAAATACATCTCATTTATAACTGGTTTTTGGGAGGATTAAAATAAGTTCTCCCTGTTCTTAATTATAAACTATCCAACACTATTTACTTTTTTCGAATCCCAAACAGTTTTATACATGTTTTAATTATGAAAAAAATCTTAGTTGTCTTCGATAATTTTTTTCCCGAAAGAAAAACCTAAAAACGAAATTATTTTCTTACCAGTTTTTGTTCTTTTTCATTTTGCATAAATAGTTTTATCTCTGGATTGAGTTCCAATTTTGCTATATGTAACATCATTTTAAAAGTAATTATAAAAGACACCTGTCATGCATAATTAACTACTTTTATGTTTTGTAACTTCTATTTTTTTATGCATATGAGAGGTGAGATTTGGAAGCAAACTTTTTTCTTTATGGAATAATCTTGAAATTTTATACCATTTATATTATCTTCTAACTTTTTTATGTAAACAAAGTTAACTTTATAACTAATTAGGTAAACTATTTCTTACTTACAAAGTAATAAGCTTGTTGAGAAGGAGGAATGCCGCAACTGGTACTTCCATAAAGTTGTTTCCATCTAATTCTAATTTAATTAAACGGGGAAGAAATGCAAAGGATTGATTGGAAACATATGAAATGTGATTGTAACTGAAGTATCTAAAATAGAAATAATTAACATTACGCCGGGGAATATAATCACATTAAGAATTCTATAGTAATTTTTATAATAGATTTAAATTAAGTATTAACAGATAGTAATGCGGAAGTAACTGTAACTTACAAATTTTCTAAGTTTACTAAGGGCTTGAATGATGCAGATGGAATGCTTTCGAATTTATTATTTTGTAGATTTCTGTCAAAAAAGAATGCAGAAATTAAACTACAATAGTATAAAATTAGAAATATTTATGATATGAAATGCATTAAATACAATGATAAGATTGTTTTGCATTATTGCGTTCTATTCAAATATTAAGTAAGCAAGCAAATATATTAGGGGGACCGGAAAGTAATGCTGTTTTGGCGCATTTGATATTTGTTATCAAGATTTTATTTTTAATCAATAATGTATTCACCCTCGTTAGTAACGACCTTTCAATGCCAGATCAAAAATGAATCGAAATGGATAAAAAAAAATGAATTGGTTTTTAAGACTAACGAATATTTAATTCGCCGAAACGACATTACTTTCCGGTCTACTTAATGTAAATAAATAAGCATGTAAATACATTAAATACAATTATAATATAGTTTTGCATGATTATGTTTTATCTAAATATTATGTAAGCAGTTACAAGAGGAAGAAGATTCGGATATTAAATTTTCTTACAAAAATTTTCCACTTTTAAGTTTAAATACTAATGGTTCATTTCATCAAACATTCGTTAGCATTTCTTTAAATAAAAATAAATACGTGATTTATAAATGGTTAGACATCATAGATTTCCCTCAAAAATATCTATAAAAATAAATTGTTTAGAACCGTGCAAAAACTTTGGATTGGTTTAGTTAATTTCAATTAACGACTTAAAATATTATAACACATTTAATTTTTTTTAAAGTACCAAAATCCGGTTTTTAAAAAACTGGTCTTCCGGTTTTTTTCTAAGCCTGATTTCAACACTTCTTTATATAATTATAAAATTAGATTATATTGAACTCATTAGCATTAAATATTGAAAAACTAGTTATTTTAATTTCTTAAGAAATTCATACACATTTTTTGCCAATTGTTCTTTAAGTTTCATTTATTTAAAAATGATGTATTAAATAGTTCAAAAATACAATTATTTAAACCAGATTTCAATTATAAACTGCTTATGAAACTGTTTAAATATTTCATATTTCCTTTCGAAAGAGAGTTTCTTTTACTTGGGTTGCAAAGAAACCTAATTTTTTATAGTTTTCTTTCACTGTGAAAGACACTTGCCATAACAGAAAAACAATATATTTTTTAAAATAAGGCAATGTTACACTTTAGACGTCAGTTAAAAATATTGAAAAAAAAAAACTTAAAGGCAAAATGAATTACTTATTCTAAAAACGAAACATCGAAGGAAAGGATAAAACGTTTTTCACCTAATGCATAAAATATTAGAATTTTGAAAGAAGCGAAATGTAAAATTAAATTTCTACTTATGGGTCTTTTTTTTTAATGAAAAATGGCATTCAGAAAACAAATACAAAATGCATGCTGATTTTTTTTAAAGATAATTTAAACACGATTGTTATTTACGCGTAGGAAAAATTAATTAAAGACATAATTACAATCTGAGGAATAAGCATCCATTTAGTCTGTATTCCATCCGTTAAAACAAAATATTAACAAGCAGGGAATCTTGTATAGTTAACAATTTTTGCTTGTTCATCACCTGTCTAAGTTAATTTTAATTGTCTAGTACCAAACTGGCAAATCAACTAAACCACTCCTTTGTAAGTTGAATACTGGCCTAGGTGGAATTTTAGTGTTTCCCACAAATGGTTACTTTATACAGATTTTATTGTACTACGATTAGTACTAAAGAGCAATAATATAAGTCAATTTTAAAAATAGAATTACACACACTCAAAAAATATTTTTCTTTAATGTTTGAATTTTGCCTTTAATAAATAGAAGGAGTTTAATTTTACATACACTTTTGAGTCATTTATTTAAAATATGTAAGACTAAAGTATTAAAATAATTCCACTTTAAAGTTTTAAACTGTGATTAAACGTTTAAAGACGGTTAAAGTAAAAAAAAAGATGGAAAAATATTAAAAAAATTAATGAAAAATGATCAAAACTATCTTTATACAGGGTGTCCCAAAAGGTCGTTTACAAACTTAGCATGCTGGTCTGTCATATCATGATGAACAAGATTTACATAGGAACATGTGTCCGAAAATTAAAACTGAGACCGCTAGAGGGCGATAAGTGCAGGTTTGGAAGAGGAGAAAAAAAATGATATCGATAGCGGTGTTAATATGATTTTTATTATAAAACATCATTACATCACAGCAAATGCTCAAAATTCCTTCCATTCGCCACAATGCACGTTTCACAGCGTCGGCGCATGGATTCACGAACCCGTTCAAATTGGCCAGGAGTGTCACGGACACGTGCTGCCGCTCACGCGATCCATGTCCGATGTTACAGGTGCCTCGTACACTATGGACTTCATTTGTCCCCACAGGTAGAAATCCAGGGGAGTCAGGTCGGGGGATCGCGGCGGCCATGGGACTGGCCCGCCTCTACCGATCCAGCGATTAGGATAATTCCTATCGAGGTATTCTCGAACAGCGTAGCTAAAGTGGGCAGGCGCTCCATCATGCTGAAACCAGATGTTTCGGCGTGTAGCGGTTGGAACGTCACCCATCAGATCCGGCAAAACTCTTTCTAAAAAAATGCGATAGGTATTTCCGTCGAGGCGTTCAGGTAGAAGGTAAGGGCCAATCAACGGCGATAATACCAGCCCAAACATTTACGCTTAAACGTTGTTGATGTGCGTGGGCACGTGTACATCTTGGGTTTTCATGCGCCCATACGTGCATGTTGTGCAGGTTCACGACACCATCCCGTGTAAAGCAGGATTCATCAGAAAACAAAATCCATGATGGAAAATCTGGCTGTGCGACCCGCTCTTTTGTTTATT